CGATACTTCAGCATAATTTGGCGTGGATAATCACTTTCTTAGCCATGTAGTGCAAAATCAGTTGCTTAGCTTCAAGATACTTTGTTAGTTTGCTTTACAATCAAATGCTATTTAGTGGTTTGCTGGCAAGGTAATTGTATGGAGTTCTAGGTATTCATCAGAGAGGAGCATGGCCAAGGTAGACATCTGAACAAAAAGCCCCAGAAGAAAAGACACATAAGTTGTAGCAGGTTCTCGAATGTTCATATGCAGCTGTAAAGAGAGAATTAGTTTCATTTTGCATCAAAATGTTTATCTGTTTCTCCTGCTGACTTTTTAATTTTTTTAATTGAATTTCAGTCCCTCGTACAACTTACATTTTGTATAAGGATTGCAATTCACTTAAAATCATTAGTGTGTTAAATGCAGTGCATTTTAGCTAAAACATGTCCTAGACGTTATTCAGTTAAGGTTAATCTATTTACAATTACGAATACTTTAGCTTAATTTGCTTAAGAAAACTTAAAAGGTGTTGGATGCTTCATAGAAACCCAAACTTATCTTTAAATTTTCCAGTAAAACCAATATCCATACCTGGAATTCTTGAACCGTATAACTTAACCAGATTCTTTTTAAAAAATTCAAAAAATAGATACCTATAGATTTTAATTGGATTTGAAATTCTTATTTTTATTTCTAAATTTGAGGAACCATACTGCAGTATGATAAATGAATTATGTAAGTTGTGTACTTGTGTTGATTTGACTTGTGTGTATTTTAGTGCTCATTATACAAGGCTTGAAGTCTTACCATCAGGATACTCTGAAAGTTCTGTAAAATATTTATAGAATTATGAAATCTTTTGCAGCAAATTGTTTTATGCTCATTCTGTAATTTGAAAGTATATTGTTAGATTAAACTTTTCAGTAAGTCGACCTGGAATTTTTCTTGACAGGTTATTTTCTTTCTATAAGTTGAATTGATCATTTTCATTTATCCTTTAGAAAAACCAAGGTTTAAAAAAAAATAAAAAATCCTATTTGAATAATATCTAGACCTGTGACAGCATCTGAGAATCCCTTGATTTGTCTTCAATTTTGTTTCTTAAAGGGGTTGTGTTTTATACTACCTTTTTAATAAACAAACTCGTGAACAAAACAAGTCTTTTCTGATTAGTTTTGAGATCATGTATTTGTCTTCCTGTTTTCCTCAGCAAAAAATACCGTAGCATTTGGTACACAGTGACTTGGTTTATAAAGCTGGTGTGTTAACGTGCCAGAGCTTTCCAACTGGAGCCGGGTAGACAAGTCCTTAGAGCTGTGTTTGCAGTGGGACGAGGTGTTTGTTCCCTCTTTGTGGGTTTTGTCTCAGACTTCATCCTGACTTGGTGTGTGAATGGACCTTGCATGATAAATGGAGCAGGAAGAATGACTGCAGACACTGTAGTTACAATTGAGATTGTGGGGTTTTTTTGGTTTTTGTTTTTTGGTTTTTTTTTTAATATGTTAAGGACAAACAATTTCAATTTTTATTCTCAAAAATGAAGATTTTTTTAAAAATTTTTTTTTTGGTTGTTCAAAGCTTAACATTTTGAATGCTTAAAAAGCACTGGAAACTGCTTATTTCAACTCCTATACTAGAAAGGAACAGGTACGATAATTCCATTTTTACCCAGTAGTTCTCTGGGATGTTCACTGAGGATCTTTAAACTGATGCCATCTGACAAGCTTATGAGTGCTTCAACTGCCAACCTAAGAGGAAATTCTTGAATGAGGTCTTGAAAACCTTTAGCAGAAGAACTCTCTGCTCTATGAAACAATTTAGAAAAGGAGGTGAAAGAACAAGTGAGCAAGATGTTGAGGACACTTGCCCTGTCGATAGACTGGAATCCAGTCTGTCTCACACTGAAAATGTGTTTGTACAAAGAGTGTCAATAAAAGACTAAGCCCAGTCCCAGGAAATCTCGGAGCCTGGTAGTTAAGTTGTTCTGGGAGATGGCAGAGGGCGGATTCATACATATTTAGGCAGAGGGAATTGGATTGTGCTCTCCTACTTTCTGACTGGCTGAGTAAACAAACTCTTGAAGTACAGAACAAGAGACAGTTTGGTGACTGTTTCCCTGTGTATTCTTCCAACAGAGACTGGCAAGTTTGACTCTGATTCAGCATTTCTGGAGTGGTTGCAATTTGGTAATTTTGGTTAACTTACTACAGAAAAAAAAAAAACCCCACAAAAAAAAAACAAACCCGAAACTACTTGTTTCTTGCCATAGCCCTTACAGAACAAGAATGGTATTTTGATTTTCTGAAGATTTCTGTAGTCATTTGAATGGATCCAGCAAAGAAGAGAAAGAAAATTGGTTATCCAGCTTATTTGAGAATGGAGACAGGTGATCTTTTCCTTCTTGCAGATGTTTGTAGTCACACACTTAATGCTGAATGTGCTGTAGGCATAAGAAAGTCCTTTCTGACCCTGGCCAAGTTTGGTTCTCTGCCATAACTTGTTTATCATCTTACTCTAAACTCTTCCGAAGTCCAGACACTGTCGTCTTTATTGTGTACACATTGTCATAAAAAAAAAAAAATAAAACAAACCACCAACCTACTTACAATCCTATTTTCCTCATTCCTGAAACCTCCTAACCCGATGGACTCGTTGGAGTGCATTTCATGCATTCTTCACAGATAGGCTGAAGGAAACGCCTTGTTCACTCGCAGCTAGAGGCTAGAAAGCATGTAGGGAGTTCATGAACGTTGGTTGTCTCCTCCTGCAGTCACCGCAGAGCACACAGAGCCTGCCGGGGGACGGATCCCACCCTGCTGGACGCAGCATGACCGTCCCGCATCTGGAAAATCTTACTGGTGTGACAGCACTCGTGACAGTGAGTTAAGGTAGGAGAATTTGGTGGTAATTTCAACCTATGTTCACTGGCTTTCTCAAGTGTTCCCTTGTTTGAAAGATACTTGATGAAGGAGAATGCCTGCTTGTTAAATTATTGCTTGTTACTTGGGAAGTTGAAAATTTTTGATTTTATTTATTTTTAATATTTTTAAAAGTGGTTTGGGCTGCATGAAATAGAGAGCAAAGAGTTAGTTCCCTGTCTGATGCTACAGTGATGGGAAATTAATACTGCTAGTGTTGGTGGGGAATGTGAAAAATATTGTAAAGTATTGTCACATGTGGGAAGCAGTCAACAACCATGGCTCTTAAGCCTGTGTTGACCATGTCCACCTGAAGGACAAATAACTTGGACTATTACTTGCGCTATTTTGCCAGATTTAACCCATTCTGAGAGCAGTGTGAGGTGAGCTGAGCCTGTTTCATCCTGAGCTCCACTTCTACTACAATTTGACAACAGTTTGTGGCAGATACAAATGGGAAGGATTTCTGCCTTTTTTTGTAGACTTCCTGCTGGAAGACAGAAGAATGGGAAGTTCAGGTAATGAAGACCACAGTGCTCCAAATCTACGTCCTGACTCTTGGGACATTAGATTCCTCATGTGCATATGATCACTTGAGAGGGCTGAGGTGTAAACTGGGTTATACCCAGCCTTATGATTGCATGTTGGAGAGCACAAGAGCTTTTTGAGGGAAATGAGAGAAAAAAAAAAAACAACCAACAAACACATAAATGGCCATTCTTTATTTTAAAAAAAGGTATTATTTTTCTAGCATTGTAACTGCTGTGGTCACAATTCACACAAGCTGCTACACACCAATAAACAGTGCTAAAGGAGCTTACAATTAATGTCATGAGCAAGTTCAGCATGTTAATAAAGTGGTACAAAGATGGAATGGCTGGTTTGCACGGAGTGAGGAACAGGAAAAATAGAGCTCTGGGCCAGAGCTAATGCTTTTTAAATTGTATGTTGATGTGTAGTGGTGGAGCAGTGCAGGAAGAGCTGGTTTGCTGCTTGCTGCTGAGATGGCCTGATACAGTCTTTTCACAGGCCGTCTGGTCGCTGATGACTTTGCCAAACTTTTACCGCTTGGGTTGGAATTTTCAATGGCAAGCGCTGGCCTCCAGCTGAGCAACCAGAAAGTTTCTTAACTTAAACAGTGGGTTGCTTTCTAAAACAAGACTGAAAAAAATAATGTCTCTTCCTGTGCTTGAAGTTCTTCCAGTTGTTTGGCTGGTTTGTGCTAGTTTCTGCTCCCCTTGTGGGCCTTGGGAAGGTGCCTGTAAATCGGGACGAAGGTTTTTCGGCTTAAGTTTTCTGTGTTTGGGAAAGTTTGGTCAGTTTTAAAGTTCTGAAATATGTTGTCTTCTGAATCAGGCAACTGTTAGAGAACATCCCTTTGTATTTCCTAACTGGTGACCGACCTGTATGTGTACCATCCCCACCACTGTGTTTAGGTGGACCAGAGGCTGAAGCTGGGGAAAGGATGCAAGAAGGGCAAAGCAATAGAAATCCTAAGATGAAGACTGAGGAGCTCTTGAGTTTGAACATATGTTAGTAGTTGATGACAGGGGATTAGGGCTAGCTGAGCGAGGGACCATGAAGGGGGAAGAACTGAACAGAGAATATGGAGGAGGTAGAGGTAACAAGTAAAACTAATCATAGAAACAAATGACAGACATGGACAAGAAGTTTGTAGATGAAGGCTTAAGCAAAGAGGAATAGATTATGGCTGAATAACCTTAATCCTCGTATCTCTTAATGTTTGAACACTTTGCTTTGCAGCCTGAACAGTGTTTTCATGTGTAAGAAATACTGAGACCATTTGGAGGCAGCCTCTGCAGGTACTTCAGGATACCCTCTGAGACACAGATGAGTGCAATGTTTTTTAGGAAGCTTAGGGTTTGCGATTAGAAAAGAAATCAGATAAATGTTTTGGAATAGGTTAAGCAATGCTGCGTATTGCAGGATTAGTTGGATGGAAACACAAATCTAACGATTCCTTAGGTTTTGGCTATTGGCCAAAAGTTTCTCCGGTCTCTGAAAAATAACAGACTTCTTTTTGCTACCAAGGTAAATCAGTTATGGTCTGCGGCGTGAGGAGCTGACAATGAGGCTGGAAAATTGCACAGAAACAGCATAGCCTGAGCATTTGCTAAATATGATTTTGATTAGAGCAGAACGTGTGAGCTCTGGTTATAGAACTAGCTCCCCTGTGGCCAGAAACTGCACAAATACATAAAAACGATGCTTCTCCAGGGCAAGCAGTGACGTTCCTTGTCCTATTCTTACCATATCTGGCAGCAGAGGTTTTTAAGGAGAACAAAAAGGAGTTTTATAGCCTTCTGTTGACTTCCTGCAAACTATTTTAGAGTAATTCTTGCCTTAAATTCATAACTTCTAGTTGAGCTACAGTGTGTGTTTTAGCAGTCTTGCTACCAAAGTTTTAAGCAACTGGCAGACCCACCATGTTTCTAGGTAAGTAGTTTCGAACAAAAAAAGGTTTTGTTTGTTTATTTTTAATTGAATTTGCCATAATTTGAATTTCCAATAATTTAATCTGAGTGTCTTTTTCTAACAGGAGGAGCAATTAATTACTCTCAGAAGTCTTTTCCTTGTGGAGGTCTGTGCTGACAGTAATCAAGGTACTTCAAACTTTACCTTGTCTAAAGTTATTATTATTTTAAGCTCCAATTAGTAGTTTTTCTTCTTTAATTTTTTTTCACTCTGTCAGTATGTTTTTTGAACAATGCAAAACCCGGAATCGGACGTAGCAGTCTGATAAGTTCACCCTGAACTTCATCCAGGTCTAATGCCACCTCTGAATTACTTGTCTAAGTGCTTCGACTCTTTCGGCACAGTTCCATGCTCAGGGCATATTTGCACAGTACTGGGTGCTAAGTCCAGGGTTATAAAGATGGATGAAGGCAGGGTGAGAAATGCCAGCTGGTGGATAGATGTGCCCCTTTTATTCCTCAATAGAGCCAATGCTATGGCATTGACAGGTAACTCATATAAGGTTTGTTTTCATCAGGCCCTCTGCATCTCTGAGCCATTCACTGCTTTCAAGATGCAGTATCCCTTACTAAGGTTGCATATGATATCAAACTTATGGCTCACCAGCAAAAGATATTGCATTGAATGAGTCAAAGGCTAATTCAAATCAATTTGTCTGATTGGGAAAAGTGCGCTACCATTGCAATTGTGAAATTTAGCAATGTATTTATTGAAAGGTTTCTCCTTTTGTTTTATACTTAGAGCATTTCATATTAGAAGTATATAATAAGAAAATCAGTAAAGAAAAGGCACATGGAAGGAGAAACCCAGATAAAGAATCTAATTAGTAACAGTTCTTCTGGCCCTACCGGTTTCAGGAGGAAGATGGGCTCACCACTGTGCGCATAAAGTCGAATAGTATTTCTTTGACTGGTCTGTTGTTTCTTTTTGGCAGGGTCTGTTGGTTATTGAAAATGGAAGAAACAAGGAAGCTCTCTCCAAAACCGTGTAAAGAACCTGTGAAAACAGAATGGGGGTCTCAGAGTGTTGTGTTTACATATTTCCAAGGGGATATTAACAGCGTGGTGGATGAACATTTTTCTAGAGCTCTAAGCAATGCCAGGAACCCACAAGACCTGAGCACAAAGCACAAGGGCGAGACTGTTGTCCTGAAGAACGGTGAGCCACTTTCCATGCGTAAACACTGAGTTAGACACGGGGGACTAGCTTTCACTGAGGAGTTTAAGATGCAGTGTGCTTAGATTTGGAATTGTGCATAAACAGAAAGCAAGAAAAGTATGCTTGCAAAGCCCTGGATTATGTAGCTGGGTCTTCCTGGGTAAATCCCTTGCTTGCTGGGGTGCTTCCCAAGCTCTCTGTGGGCCTGCTGGCAGGACTGGGTCCTTGTTTTCCAGACAAGATTACCCATCACTGTCAGATGCATTAAGCACATTATGACTTAATTTGCCATCTTTGCAAAAAATGTATTTGTCTAAGGTTGCAATTGTTAAGAATCTGCCTATGCTAGTGGCCTGTAAGAAAGCACGTGTAATATTGATTTGAAAGTATGGGTAGTGGTTGTTTAGTCTGCTTTTAGTATGAATTTGTGGTCCATCTTTAAGATAAGCAGCACTAAAGTCAATATGTATTTCTGTAAAAATGACTATGCAGTCTGGTAGCATTTCCTTAGAAGTCCATTGGAATTTGCCTTGGAAAAGAGTAAGAATTGATGAGACTTCAGATGCTTTCTTTCTCTTTTTAAGTAGATAGCATGTCTCCCCATCAGTGGAATTTCTCTTCACATTGCTCCAAACCATATCCGTCATCTTCTGCAACAAGCATGTCAAATTCTGGTCTGAATTTTTCTGCTGCTGGTATGGCAGGCCAATACCAGCCATCAGCTCTGCGGAGTCATCCAACTCAACCTGCAGATTTATGGCCCTTCCCTTCGATTGGGACTCCCAGTCTTACCAGTTCGGTATATCATCACGCCTTGCCTGACCTGCACGCGGGCGATGAACCGATCTCTGACAGGAAATACGGTTCTCTTCTTGGTCTTCTGCAACAGGAAAGGTGCCTAACATCCATGCAAGAATGTACCATGAAGCAACTCTCAAGTTCTGCTTGTATGACTGGACCTGCCGGGTTACAAAATATAAGTCAGAGTTCAGCTCCTGGGGGAGGTAAGAAAATACTATCACTTTATTCTTTGATGGCGTCTTATGTAAAGAGACAGAATGATACAATCTGTTCCTAAGGAGCTCAAATCGGGGCCATCTTCAGCCCAGCTCATAGAAATTTTTTTGAATACTTAACCCATGCTGTGTAGTGTGGTGCTTGGGACTGATTAGCTATAATAGTATGGCTTAATCAAAATATACATTGTGCATTTGCACAATATTTTACCTTCTGCCTGACATCAGGAGGATGTTTTAAATGAATATAAACATCATCCACAGTGCTATCAGGATCTCTAGCTTTATAGGTAGCAGGTAGGGTGGCACTGTGTGTGCTTGGATGCTCCCATATTATGGCCAGAAAGAGGTGGCCAGATAAGAGCCCTGAGCAGCCCATCTTACTGTGCAGGGCATTAGTGATATTCTGAATACAGGATGAGAAACTGCAGCTTGTATCAGAACGGCCAGGGATTTCTGTGCTTCCCCAGTCTCTGTAGCTGGAAGGACTGGGGTAACGGGGCTGGTGGGCCAGCCTTGCCCTGTCTCCCAACTACCTGCTGCCTGCCATGAAGCATGCTGCCCTGTGCGTCAAAGGCTGCAATTGTTCTCTGCAGCGGATTTCCCAGAGCTAATGCGGTTCACACGGGAGCAATGATTGTTGCTTATTTATTACTAACAGTAGTTAGTAGGAGTCCCAGTCCTATGTACTGCTGGCACACAGAAGAAAGATAGCTGGTGACTGAAGTCCTTTCCTGGGAGCTTACGTCCCCACAGCATCTAGGACCGCTGGATAAAATTGCTCCCTTGTGAGTAATTTCTGTCTTTGAGAAGCTCTCTTGGATGGAACTAGATGATCTTTGAGGTCCCTTCCAACCCTAACCATTCTATGATTCTATGAGGCTTCATGGCCAGAGCCCTGGTGCCCTGTCAGGCTACGCTGGCGTTGCTGTTCCTGGGCGTTACCCAGATAATCAGCTTGGCACTGGTGTCCAAGAAAAAAAGGTTGTGAAATTGTTTAGGGAGTCTACTGGGAAAAATACAGCACCTCCTACCTGGTGCTTCTAGATAAAAGGGACCAGGTATGCGAAGAAGCAATCCTGAGTCTTAGGTTTTGAAAAATAACCAGCTGTGAACT